CGGAAACGACAAGTAATAAAACGTCCCAATGAAAATATATAGAGAAAAATTCTCTATTATGAGACAGGCTGCTAATACAAGATAGCGGGTTCTCAACGTCCAATTCCACGAATCTTTTTCGCAACAATTACACGCACGACCTAACGATGAATTTACCGCTAAACAGACTTCACTCCAAAAGCAATAAGTACATAGCGGAAACAAGGGATGATGCCTATTAATTTAGCCGGGTTCTGCGCGCGCGCGCGCGCACAGTTTCGTCTTGACGAATCTGAAGAGACGGTATCGCAAAAACTCTCTATTTTCACGCGAAAGCTCATCGAAAACGTAACAAAGCGAAGACTCGCAGCTTCCTCTCTCCGGATCTACGACGGCCGTCCTATCTATTTACGTACCCGTCTCGCGCTCGCACAGACGGAATAATACCACGCTCCCACGAGCTATTATTAACCGACGAGTGCAACGAGCTTCCTCTCGAGGATAGCCGAAAGCCCCGGGGAGAGAACGAGGCCTTCCGCCTCGTTATCGTCGCGACGTCTCGCGATCGCGACGTCTCGATCGATCGAGAACGAAATCGCGCAAAATTTCGAACGGCCTTTCTCGCCGCGCGCGGGCGCTCGGGACTTTCTCTCTATAAATAACGTGACCGTCGTCGTCGTCGTCGTCGTCGACGCGCGGGACAAGCGTGATAACAGGCCCGAGGAGAAGTCGCGCGACTCTAATCGCCTTAACGAAAGGTTGTTACCACGCAATTGGCAAGACACGCCGATTTCATTCCCTCCCGCGCGCATCCACGTCGCGTCTCCTTTCATCTCTTATTCCTGCCTCCTCACCCTTTGCGTCCAGTCACCGTATATCGTCGCGTCATGACGGGCATTGGGTTTAAGAAAAAAAAATGCAGGATTGTATCGCGAGAAAGCGAAAATGAAGAAGACGCTATTTCCTCCTCCTCAGGTTGAAAGCGACGGAGAACGATGCGCCGTTCTCTGTACGCTCGGCTCGCTGCAAATAACAAAATCTTGCCGTTCTCTGCTTAGTCTGCAAAGGATTTTGATCAACGGATTTGAGTCCCGGGCTCAACCTTCGGGACATTCCGAGACGAAAATTGAGATTGCGTGAAAACGCGGGAGAATCCGAGAGAATCCCTTCACCGAAACGACGCGCACAAAGTAGGTGTGTTACGGATTCGAGAGAATCAAGCTGGACGCGTCCAATCAGCGAGCCGAGTATTAATCTCTCGATAAATGTTATATAAATAACGCTGAAGTCACGAGTGAATGAAGGGGAGACCGGCCCACGTGGTATCGGCCGGGGCGATAACTTTTAATCGCTTTTTCTGGAGACAGCGTGTGTGTATATTTACGCATACATTCATTCACCTTATTGGCTTCTGCTGCGTTTTCCGTCTGAAAGACTAAGCCGCGAAGGTCCGGCGGTCGCTCGTAGGTCGAGGAGACGACGTTCATCGCCGTGCGAGGTGCAGCAACGTCTGGCGGCGAGGTTCTCAGATTATTTTCACGGTCAAAAGGGACGCGAAGCGATCCTTGACACACTGCCAACCGGCGTATCGTCGGTGCGCGCTATTACAAATGTAACAAACAGAACGGATCTTTTCCAAGCGCGAAGGTGTCCTCGACCCTGATCCGTCCGGGCCCCGAGACGCACGGATCCGAGACAGATTTGCGCACGATTTGACTCGTTCGACGGCGAGTTTTGCGAAACCCGACCCTGGTGCGAACGCGTTAACCCAATTCGCTGCGGTGTCGCTAAATCGGTCTATATTTGCCGGCGCGACGCGCTTACCCGCGAACAAAGTTTGGCAACGAATGGAACAGGTGGTTTCGATGTAAATGCTTTCGAGCGTTGTGAGAGGCATCAGCCTGACGACGTTGCTCTTTGCGTTTAGAAACACTCTGTTTTACACAAGCACATCAAAACGCTTAACGAATTCGTCGACAATGTACGATTGTTCAATTCGCCAACTTGGACACATTTTTTAACGCATTGTTGACATTTATTGGCTACAAAAGAGAACATTTCTAGATGCACAGAGCACATTGTAGATCAGAGAAAGAGAAAACGCGTGTAACAAACCGCGACGTGTGCGAGATACGGTCGTCGTAAACGTAATTCGCAGATTTGCAAAATTTCATAGCTGATGCGCTCTGCACGACGAACAATCCTTAAACTTCACTTTACGAATGTATTAAGATTCTTCTGCGATTGCGATTCATAATCGATGATTGGCTCTTCTGACAAGATTCCTGTCTTCTTGCAATTTGTGGTACTATTTCGTAGATATTTTTACAAAAAAAAAATTAACGTTTCCACGAAAATATAAAAATTTCTACAAATTTCTGTTCCATGTCAATTTTTGTAGTTATTTATAGAAACTTTTTCCGCTAGGGAAGTGGCAATCTTAAAATTTTGAAGCGTTTAACACTTACTGTCTCCCTCTCGCCTTTCTCTTTTAACACTTATCGATATGATAATTTATAATTTCTTTCCAATATAATGTATTATCACACTTAGGTGTTTCTTTGTAACATCTGTGCGTTATTTAGCCGGTGTTTGATTCTTCTTAAAGATGCAAGTAAATTTTTCCTGATTATATCCGACATTACGATTCTCGTTCGCGAAGAATATCTGGCGCTGCTCGGGCAACATCCGACGGCATGTTTGATGCCAAACGATCCGATGACCTCTCAACTCTCAGATGCACGATCCAATTATCACCTCGCTCGAAAGGTTTCGTGCGCGACGCAATTTTTGTGCGATTAAAAGGCAACCGAAAACCGTACATATTGCTCTCGAGTACGGGGCGATACGGTAAATATAAACCAGAATATAATTTCTCGGTAATCCGGTATCGCTACGGTTGCATGTGCACGATAAGGGGAGCCGCAGGAGTCGCTTTAATCCTCACCGAGTGCATCGGAGGGTTGAACTCTCGCGAGGCGAACTCTCTTTATCTGCGCGTTTCTCGACATTGAGACAGTTTAGTAATGAATTGTATCTCCGGTGCGGAGGAAGTGCGCGACTTCTGAGATATCCTGACGTTATTCGAGGCGTGGTTGCGAGAAGCGGTGGCGCAGGATCGCGTACGCCGCGTGTGTCCGTGCCGCGCCGCGGTCACGCCGTGTGGTACCACGCCTTGGTGAACACCGCGAGCGAGAAAGAGAGAGAGAGAGAGAGGGAGAAAACGAAAGAAAAGAAAAAGAAAGAAAGAACTCCGAGATGTCTAGACGCGTGGGACGGACCGGGGTAATCTCGACAACCTCGACTTGTACTCGTTGCTCGCTCGGTTGCTCGCGCGATGCCCGCACGCGTTCGCCGTATATGTAATGCGTACCTACGCGCGCGACACGTGCATTCCGTGTCGCCGGGGGAAAAGAGGGCGGCCGTCTTAATTGTCGGGCATTGTTAACCGCCCCTGGAAATCGCGGCCGGCGGTCGCCGAGAAAACCTCTCGGAGGCCTCCGCGTTTCAATTCCGTCGCGAACTTACGGCGCGCCCTTTAATCGGCTGCGCCTCGAATCAGTCCGCGCCGCACGCAGTAAAGGGAATGTTAAATTAATCTTTTTGAAAAAAAAAAACAACGCCTCTTTAGTAATTGCTACCCTGACGTCTATATTATGCATAAATTAAAATAAATGTCCCTAACAGTAAACTAAACTGCTGATTATCGGCCAGATTTTCAAAACTCATTAAAAGTCGATGCAACGACGCGACGCGCGCTCTGCATTTCAATCGCGAACGCACAGGTGGACTGGATTTACCGCAACTCGTAATATACCTATAATTGGCCCACTGTTTAATACTATTTTTTTTGTAGACGCAGGATGTGTTCAGGTTCTTAAAAATATCGCGTCTGTTGAAAGTCGGTGTAGAAATTCACCGTCGGTGCTCGAGTACTTCGTCCACTACCCAGTGAGAAATGTTTCGTCGATCGACGTCGATCGACAAATCATTTCTCACTGGGTATGTTCACTCTGCGCCTCTCCGTTTCGCCGTAATTACTTAACGACGCACATTTTCGGCCTTCATATTATCGCCCGAATCCGACAATGTTATACTTTCTCGTATGTCGCCCATTATCTTATCGCGCGCCCATCTTTATTGTTCCAGGTCCCAGCATCCGCGACATCGTACAACCGGTTCGTCGAGACCATCCAACGCCCTGCCTCCAGTTGCAACGCCAGTAGCCACGCTCACCAACGCGGACATCATCGTCGCACGTTATCTTCTCGAACGTCCCCTTCTTTCTCCTCCGCTTCCTCATTCCTGGGATTTTCGGCCCGCCTGCGGACAGGAGTCCGCCGGGATTGAGCTTCCATCCTCGAGTCGATCCAAATCTCGCTGGTCTCGTCATATCGGCCAATATTATAGTTCTGTAAGCTTTCTCTCCATTTCTTCCTTTGTTGCTTCCTCTTTCTCTTTTTCTCTCTCTCTCTTTCTCTCTCTTTCTCTTCCATTTCTTCTTCTCCGACACTCTTAACACCTCCATGCGGAACACAAATCGTCGACCGAACGTGTCAATTATTTTTTACGAGCATATAACGGAAGATGGGAGACGCGCCTAGGTCTCGCGGCGGCCTCACAATCAGTGTGGCTAATAGTCGCGAGATTATTGCGTGAAATTGCATCGCAATGTGCCTTAGGGTGCCTTAAGGAATTATAAAGATTCGTCTGGTAGTGCCTAGTACATATCTCGCAGCGCGGGTACATCTCAGGTATCCAGGAAACGCAAGACGTTTCTTTTTTATAAAAGCCTACACGTTCTTCCTACTGTTGCGTTATTTGAACAATGTGGCATCGTCGTTGAAAAGTTATGCCATTAACTAACAACTGCGAGAAACGTGTACGGTAAGAAGCCCGGGTACCGTTCGCAGTCGATGTGAATAATGTTACAGCGGGAAACGACGAAATGATAAATGTTAACGGCAGATTCGTCTTCTGGCCGGTGCTATATGCCGTTTCCTCCACAGTTCCTCCTTCGGCGCGTATCGTTTCGCGATTAGAGGGTAAATCGTAGCTTCGCACGAAATTTCGGCGGCCACTACCGCGTTGTTAGAACATCCGAATCGAGGAAGTAAATGATATTAGACATATCCTGTAAAATGTTAAACTACTAATCTAATGCGCGACTGCATATGTATTTTACTTATCTTTGGCTTTCACTTCTCACGACGATTTTTTTCTAACGAAGATTCATATCTTATATATGATATATGTATGTACAGCGTTAGGCGTATGCGCGATATATGTATGTGTGTACACACGCTACTTGCGGACCATTTACTTGCTTGAATCGACGCGTTTAAGCAACTGGGCTTTAAAAATAAATAGAATGAGTCGCGATAAAAGGGAAAGAGCCGAGCAGCTCGATTACGTCACGAATGGACACTAGAGCAGCGATTGACTATTAATTCGCGAGTACCTACAAAGAGGAATCTATGAGAAATCCGTATACGAGTCGAATTACCATATGTCTGATATTTTTCTCGGGCGTGGACCTAAAGAGTGAAGGCTCCTGTACATTGTTTCGAATGCATTGCTGAGACGTTCATCAGTTTTGGTCAGGTATTCGCGAGTCGGTGGTAAGCGCGGTCACGACGGAATGGCAACGGTGGAGCGGCGGAGCGTGAATGCCTGCGAACGCACGAATCTTTCGGACGTGATACTTTCTGGCACCGAGCATCTCTTGCCGGCCAATCCTTATCTCGTATCTGGTAGACTTCTACGTGCGGAGTGGGTCGATTCTTTGAAGTCACTTCTGACTCTCCTCCAGCACGTTCAAAGCGCTGCCACTTCAATGTCTGTGCCTGCGCCCCTTCAAGCGTCTCGTTTGAAATTAGATGCATGCCTCTCTAGTTAGTGTATGCGGCTGGCGCGCATAGAAATACAATGCCCACCCGCATTGTTAAAACGAAAGCAACATTCGAATGCTCAGCGGTCCGAGTTTTGCTTTCCGGGGACGAGAGGGCAACCGCGGGCGGCCCTGCTTTCGCGGCGAATGAGAGAGTGCTTTGAGTCGCGGAATTGCTGGAACAAATGTCGGCGTGAGACGGCGGGACTCCACCCGGTGATTTGCAAACTCCGCTCTACGCGTTCTGCATCGGGCTTTGATAGCAACATTGGAATTGCTTTCTCTGCTCGTAGGGATCCTTTGCAGTTATATTCTTTAAAGACGATAACGCTTGATGTTCCACTCTCGCGTTACGCTTTCTCAGCGAGATAATTCTTAATCTTTCGATAAACGAACTGATATTATTTCCACTACTCCGCGTTACGTTATCTTTTCCATTCTTCTCCTCGATTTCACTCTTTTTATCTTCTTCGTTTCTCTCTTTCATCTCTCGCTTTGATGCAGAGATCTAGGATTAAAAGGAGTTTGTGAATAAATGTACCGGAAATACGTGGGAAGGTTCCGTCGTAAAGGAGCCAGTTTATGTACCGGCACTGCTGCTCCAGATCGACTTCGTGTCCGTTCGTTGAATATCAATCGCTAATCGATACAACGAAACCTCGCATTCGCGTGTGTATGTACATTTACGCGTAATTTCGTTTCGAGAGCCCTAAGACTGATAACTTAAATCACGTACATAATGTAAATAATATACGTACACATTTAAGGATTTTAATTGCGTCTCGATGGAAGTTTTAAGCGCCTCTTATCTTACTGGACGATTACCGAGATATTTCTTCTAATAAGCAGATCACGTCTCTGTAGATTTTTTATCGCGTTACAAGTCCTCGTTCTCTTTTCTGTATTCCTACTTGCCACTAATATTTAATAATTTTATGTATCTTTCATTATATACTGGACTTACTATAACACTTGTTAAAGTTTATGTTATGGCGCCTCTTACACTGTTTTTACCCTCTTTTATCCGAATTTTGCGTGGGTTGAATATTATCCTATTTTTACAGAGCGTATTAGTCATTATATATTGTACACATTTTACCATTGTTGGTTGTTATTAATTATGATATACTCCCCGTGTAAAAATACATAAGTTGCAGATGTTCATTACACTGGCTCGTACGTATATACATACATTTGGGTACCGCATTGTAAATACCAGTGAATAATTATTACGTCTTTCGCAATAAAAGTTACAGTAATGATTTTAACATGACGATGTTATCAATCTTTTTATTTCACTTGCCCCTCAATTCTCACCACCCCGATAATTTTGTACACTCTTATCCTTCGCCGATTATCCGTCGAGACCGTTGGGATTAAGTTTGGAGGACCGCGCGCTCATTGATTGCGCTTCCGTGTTTGGCTTTTACGGCCAAACGGTACTCTCAATCCAATCGAGATAAGAACTAACTCGAGTGTACATTGCGGGCGATGATTTAAAGGCGCAAAACTTGCCGAAGCTCGTCACACCCACGATGCTGTACATGCAGTACGGTTCCGCAAGAATTCTTTGCAACGGACCGCCGCTGTCGCCCTGCAAATAATGCCACATTATTCTATTCAAATCCTCTTTCAATTCTTTAAACATGTAATCAAAATTAAATACACTTAACGAAATAAAATTCATCGCGTATCGTTAATTTTAATATATAATTAAATCATTTGTACTTGATGTGTAATCCTTAATTTGTACCTGCTTATACAGGGTGTCCCAAGAGGGAAGGTCAATATTCTGGGAGATGACAGAATATTCACCTTTCCTCCTGGAACACCCTGTATATATGTAGAGGGAAGTCCCCTATTACGAGATAGGCTTCTAATATGAGATAGCGGGGTTTCTGTTAAAAGACACCTTCTGTTGATTCCATCATGGATTTATTGCCTTTGGAACGAAATATATTTAGTGAGAAATTCATGCTTAGATTGTGTAATCGTTGCAAAAGATTTGTGATTAAATTTGGGTATTGAAAGTCTGCTATCTCGTATTAGAAACCTATCTCATAACAGAGGACTTTCCTCTAATTGATGTTAAAAATAGATTTCTAGTCTTTTCTTTTAATTAAAATTAAAGTCACCCTGAAAGTTGAAACAGGTAAATGGATCGATGCAAAATTATTAACTTGAGTAATACAAGGGATGTTTTCGAAAGTTTGTTAAAAATAAAAGACTCAAAAATAATTCTAAACGCTTTTTCCGACCTGACATGTGTCTTTGCCGCCCTCCATGATGCCGGCGCAAAGTAAACTCGATATCATGCCGTCGGGCAGCTGCCGAGTACCAATATCTCCGCTGTAAGTCCTCTTGCAATCATCTTCGGAAATGTAATTCAACTGGACCTTCATCAACTCGTTGCTGCCGATACTGGATTCTGTACGGTATCTCAAGTTACATCTCTCGACAGGCAAAAGGTTAATGTAAGATCAACTAATAACTGAATTAATATAAAAATATAACAACAACAAGTAAACAAAAGAGGCCAATTTTTACGAGCATAAAAGATAACAAAGTAATATATATTTTTAAAAATCAAATATGTTACAATTGTGTGTTGGAGAGAAGGAAACATCTTATATCTTAACTGTAACATCTTTGATTTTAAAAAATATATATTACATTGTCATCTTTTATGCTCGTAAAAAGTGGCCTCTTTTGTTTACTTGCTGTTGTTAAATAGAACACGGGCGGAATTGTTACTTGTTATAAAAATATAAGTTTTAGAATACAACACGAGACGTTTTGGTGGATACTGACCGTAGGCTGTTTTCCCAAACCCCGAGGCAAAAGCGCTCCCGCCCGGTATCTGTAAGTTCGTTTCGAGGCATGCGGGTCGCACTCGAGGATTCAATTCTAGCGGACGATCGAGCTTGAGTAACGCTATATCATGGTACCTGACCGAAAACTTGTAATCCGGATATGTAATTCTTTCCGCGACGTCCCTCTCCTGCATAGCATCGCCCGGTGTCAACAGATTAATTAAGCCGACTCGTACTTTGCTTGCGGGGCCCCTGAGAAACATATCGATAATATTAATAATAATCCCACAACGCGCACAAATGTATTTGAGTGCATATATATATGCATTTCACAATTATACATTTTTTAAGTATCTATTTGAGTGTCAAAAAGAATCATTTGTTCAAGATTGTTTTAACGTTGCAGCAATATAAAAAATTAATATACGAACATTGACCTAGATTCGACGTAGAAAAAATATTTATACTTCAATATTCAACGTTGCAACGTTTCGGCAACATTATTTTAACCTTCTGTGCTGTATGGGGAATGTGATTCAACGTCAAAAATTGACGATAGCGCAGTAATGATATGAGTTCAACGGAATGATTGCGATAAAACTGTTACTTGTCCGGGGATTCCATACAGTGCGCCGCGGTTAGAATGAAATTCTCGGAGATAACGCTTCCTCCGCACTGCCAGGACACGTCGTGCTTGCCATAACCGATCACCGCCTACGATATGGAAAGTACAGCGCTGTTAATTACTTTGATGATTAAAACGATACATGGAAATCAAGTACGTTGTCGCGCGGGTTTCCCAAATGGCGCACATTTTGGGGAAATAGTATCGCATGTATAATAAAAGCGACCACTATGCATTGCGTGCTAAATGCGTTACGATAAAGAAATAAAAATTTAACTAAAGAATTGTAAGTTTTCACGTACCTTTAAAATTATTATCTTCCATCTTTTTAATTAGAGATTAGAATAATTCTTACAAAAATATATCTTTGTTTTTGCGTACTTGTAATTACCGCTACAAGCATTTCATGTCACGTATCGTTTATTTAACAGTTATGAGAAGATATTAATAATATCATCTTTAAGTAATCGAAATGTAAGACCTTTTTTACTTGCTGATGTATTTGTAATATATTATATCGACAACAGTATATCTCTTTCGAGTTTTTCCACGATTGCAGCGATATATGCGTATTTGTTCTCACCATGTGCGGAAATTCCGCGTGTTTCGCTTGGATTCCGCCGATGATTAGAGGTGTCTCGACGACGGCGCAGCGAGAGACTCTGTTCGAGCCGGCATTGATACGCAACGTCGGCGATTTCTCGGTCTCGTAAACCAGATCGGCGTATTCTTTGCATTCTGCAGAAAAGCGGGAATTATGCAAATTAGGATCGTAGCGGAAATTAGGTGGCAATCGAGACGATTTATGGTGCAATTACGTGAGGTGATTGAGAATAAAAATCATTTTGTTATTCATTTCTACGCGCAATTCTGTGCCTGCAAAGTGCGTATTTCATCGATTTATCATCGTACGTCATGATTACTTAATCGCGCGTCTCCTACGAAACACGCCTCATTTGTATGTTGATCTAAACAAGTTTACTCGCGCTTACGAAGCGCATAAGGAAGAAAATTGTTAAAAATAGCTTATGATTAATAATTACATATTTTACACAAATAAAGTTAGAGTCAACTTTTTCGCACCAAAGATTTTTCGGTAGATGAAATCTAAATTTAAAATCTTTAAGTTGTGAATATTTGTAACGTAAGAAATGAGACATTAAATAATGAATTCCCGACGAATTGAGGTTTAATTCTCAATGTTTAAGCATGTGTCTTTTCAATTTTATACTTGAATCGCCCCAACAAACACCAAATTAACAGTTACATTTGTATTCTGGGGCTGCTGCGATCTTGAAAAAAATTATAGAGTTGCCACCGTTCTCGATCAGTTTCTATAAAATGATTTCAAATTCAACAGAGGATACACCAGGACCATGATCTGTGTGTGTACATTCGAAATAAACGATTTCTTTGAATCCGATCGCGGGTATAACGAGGGAGACAGGCTATCACTAACTTTCTTCACTTTTTCGCGCCGCGGAATTCCTGAGCAAAATTGCGACGAGTAACGCGATCGTAAGCTCGCTCTGCATATTGCGAATCCAATACGCGGTGTATCGATACCTTCTTCGAACAAAGGCCTTAATAGCGAATTCCCGCCTTAAGAACGGCGGATAATGCGTAACGAAGTGCATGCAGGTTGCGCGACGATGAGGTCGTTTATTGACGATTGGCGATCCGCGAGTCGAGGTGTCATTAATAGTATTACCGGAACTGCAAGCAATGACGTACGCGCTAAACTCTTCCTGATACGTTTCATAAAATATCTACGTCTGTTTCCCATAAATAGGTACTGTACCGTAATTAACGCTAGAGAGCCATTTTATAGGAAAATTGCATTATGTTCTTACACTTCAACCACGTGACATTATTCACGCGGGGGATAAAGAGTAATTTTCTTTTCACGAGTCGATTAAATAAACTATTAACTTAACATTTCAGATTTAACAAAAGATATAAAAATATACGAATTCGGAAACAACTTTTCTTGACACAGCTGTAAATCGATCGTCGCTTGCAGCAATTGCTTACCTTCGAGATTACATTTGTTAGTAAGCCTTTAATTAATTTTCTTGTAAAATAAAGATAAGCAGGAATCGTGCGTGGAAGGCTCTGTCATATTTATGCATCTTCCTGAGTAATTTGGAAGGATATCATTGAAAAATATCTACTTCAAATTAATCAAAGTACGCGCTTACAAATCCCGTTTAATTAATTCAGAAACCATCTCATTATGGTTACTCAGGCACAAGATGTTTACGTATTTATTGCACGTCCTCTTAAATTATTACGCGTCCTTCGGGAACACGTGGAACATAAATTTTGCACATTTGACATTTCGGTTTATCCTTTAAAAATATTTTTCTCTCGGGTAGGCTTACATTTTCTACGGAACCATCCATTCGTTGAACTGCAGAATAATTAACTCATTACTACGCGGTACCGATACGTGTATTAACCACTTGCAGACAAAATTCGGACAAACGCTACATCCCTGGATATGCACACGTGGTTTGCTCGTAATGAAACTGGTCTTATCAAATCCATCGGGCCTTTGGCAGCACCATGATGTCGATCGTGATGGATCGAATCCGATTTGTTCCACGCATTGAGTTCGACGTCTGACGTGTCGAAAAACATGTAATCATCATTAGGTTTCTAATAGCTTGATAATATGCAACTCACGTACGATATCATGGTATAGCAAAGGGAACACATTATTAATCGTAATAAGATCTAAGGAGCTCTGGAAAATTTCCAAAAAGTCCGCGCCTTATATATTATATTACAACATCCAGTTGCCCGTGAAATAGATCAGACTATCCTCGTACTTTACATCAAGGCTTCTTTGAAAAAGTCACACACGCGTTTTCTATTGACGACATGATAAAAAAACTAACATAAAATAGTACAACATATACGTTACATTAATGAGAAGTAAAATAGACCTTTCAAGTTTCCTCGTTTTACATTAACATAGCTTTTTTTATTCCAGCTGCATAAACAGCAAAGCATGACGTGTGAATATGCAATACGTTTGATGTGAAAAGTATTACAAGTATACAAATGGGAAGAGCCCCGCAGATCGCCCCCTTGTTAAAAATTATTGTGAAAGGAGTAAACGTGCTAGAAGTGCAACTCAACAAGTCGTTAAAATAAAGAGCGGCTTTTATAAACGGCAAGAATATTCATCGCTCTTAAAAACACACTCAGAATTGCGCAAGTACATCGTAATATTTATTCAAGGTCCCCGATTCGAAGGATCCGATTTATAATCCCGTTACATTCAAATATCGAAGTGACGTAGGTGGAAAGAAATCTTTGGTATCGTTCTTCGCGGCAGGACAATTCAAGCGTGGAAAATGCGCTCGCACATTAAAGATCCAGATTGCGAGAATTCTCGCGATTTCGATCGAATCGCACGGGAAGTACCGGCAGAAATATCAATTCCTGTTACAGATCGCTCGTGGCACGCGACAACTGATTGCCTTAATCACCCATCGAACGCTTTGCCGAACGCGAGATCTTCCTCGAAGATGCGAATGGAATGGCGCATACGATTTATCGCGAAGTGCATGACGAGAATGACCTCGTGGTTCATCACCACCATCACTGGACGGAGGAGCGACCTGAGTGGGGATTGGAAAAAAACGAGAAATATACGGAACAAGCGAACGTGTTGGACGAGGTATATCTTCCATCGCGGACGAGTCTTCGGGATCAGTCGAGTAAACCGCGTCAACCAAGGCTGATCAAGGATGCCAGCGAGTTTGCCGGTCGCCTCATCGTCGTCACTGTTTGTGTTGGTGTCGATCCTGTCACTGATAGACGGACAGCACATCGGAGGTGAGTATTAGTCCTCCTCGCTAAAAATACTGGTTCTTGTCTGAAATGAGTATGTCGAGCACGTTCTTCCGCGAACGCAAAGACTGCCTCGAAACCCACGAACTATACGCACTAAAAGAAATCTATTATTAGCAAATATACTTACTATTAATTTTGATATAGAAGAATTGCTTAGCAATGACATCTTGAACATTATTTTTGTGTTTACTCCTCCGTAATGTATCCACTGAAAAAGATATATATCATATTACTGAAGAAGAAAGTTCTATTTTTCAATTCGTTGTAGCATCTAAATGTGCATCAATAACTTTGTGGACTGAAGATTAAAAGGCCAAATTATTTTCGTATCTTTTTAAAAGTTGAAATGGAAATTTACACTTATAGTTTACCAGACATTTTTTCTTTTAGAGCATTCGAGGAAATAAAATACAGATATAAAATTTTGATTCATATTTAAAATATATGCAAATATCGCTGATGAATAAATAAAGCTGATTGTAAGGCCTCTCATTCGAATAATTGTTTAGAAATATCTACTATTTATCTCAATTGTTCCAATTGATATCTTACTTTCTTCTTTTTAAAACTTTAAAACTAATAAATAATTGAACTCTCCAAATCGTATTGAAATCTATCCACTCTTAAGTTTCCTTGCCACAAATTCTCGAATCGAGAAAAAACTATCGTCTAGTGCAAATCTTTAATTTTACTTTTAGCAAACACTCGCAACAGGTTGATGCGTTTCTGTAATTTTCAGAGTCATGTGTGATCGACAATTCCCCGGGACAGTGCAGGCTTATAGAAGATTGCCCTAAAGTTTACGAGGAATTGTTAGCCGGCATAGCGCCCACTGCGACCTGTGGATTTGAACACTTCGACCCGGTGGTATGTTGCCCAACGACAAATCGCGGCTCCACTAACAATAAGCCGACGTCGACGCCACCACCACAGACTCCCGTGCACGACAATTCAGTACGACCTTTGAAATTGGATGGTTCAAGGGGATCTCTCGCGCGAGCAAGTGAGTAAAAATTCCTTTTCAATCTATTCTCTTACAACAGATAAGAAACGCTGGAGTAACTCCAACATTTATTGATATTAATATGCAACTTACTCCACACTTGTATATCTTCAAAGTTCTTTAGATAAGAACGTATCTCAAACGAAGTAAAATCTTTTAATTGATATACACAAACATTTTCTAGTAATAATGAGCAACCAGCTTATCAATGGTAAATTTTTCCGCTATGGTGGGGTATGGATTCATTTAAAGTTTTATTTATATTGTGATTTTTTTCATCTTTTCAGAATGCGCGGAAAGCGCAGAGGCTGTCTACGGTTTCGTGCTACCACCGACGCCAACAGTGGACCGACAGCCCGTCAACACGTCGCTATGTGCCCTGACAACTCGCAAACTAATCGTCGGCGGCAAGAAAGCCGAGGGGAAAGAATTCCCGCATATGGCGGCCGTCGGTTTCGATGGTGCCAATGATATCTTGTGGCTATGCGGTGGTAGCTTAATTTCCTCCAAGATCGTTCTAACAGCGGCCCACTGTACGTGGACAAGCGACTGGTAAATTTCGACGATACCGCCTTCCCTCAACATTCTATCTTAAGTTCGGAAAATTGATGAAACTGATTGCTTGAGTTTATACTTTTAAGGTCCGGTTTCACCAAACATCGTTTAACTTTAATCTTAGTTTAATTCACGTTTATCTCTTTCTAAAGTGACACTTAGAAAGAGACAAAGAATGAATTAAGCTAAGCTTAATGTTAAACGACGTAGGTAAAACCAAGCCTAAATGTTCAATTTCAATCGTCATTACTAAAATATTTAACGTGAAAAAGTAAGTAACTACATAGAAATTTTCTTTGAAACTCTTCTCGAGTTACAGTTTATCTTACCAGGGATATAAACGCACTTTAACGTAAATTCATGAATCATAATAATAAATAATAAATTATAATAAATCTTGTTTACCTTAAAAAGGGGAAGTGCTAAGTGGGTACGACTTGGGGATCTGAACCTCGCGCAGACGACTGACAACGCGATGCCGCAGACTATAGCAATCAAGGAGAGAATAAGGCATCCTGACTACAAACGCCCGTCGGAATATCATGACATAGCTATACTCCGCCTGGAGAAGAAAGTTACCTACGACGCGTTTGTCAGGCCAGCGTGTCTCCCGGTTGATTGGCCAGACGTAGGTCAGGATAATAAGGCAGTAGCTACCGGATGGGGTCTAGTCGACTGGTGTAAGATTATGAAGGAAATCTTTAAAATTACTAAAACAGAATTGCCAAAATTAAGTATTAACTAATTATTAATGCTATGAGTTAGAAGAAAAATATATTTTAATATAATTCATTGGAGAAGATACCATTTTTCGCTATTTCTATATGTGTACTATTAATTTTATATGTATACGTATATGTAGGTACGTAAATTTAACAAAGGTATGTCACTTAATTCTCCAGCTGATGACAAGGGCTCGGATAATCTACTAAAGGTGACACTCAATTTGGTCTCGCACGAAGCTTGCAACGAGAGTTTCTACGACGGCGGCAGTTCCACGGAGCTCGCATTAGGAATCGTCAATGAATGGCAAATATGCGCGGGAGAAGTCGGGAAAGATACCTGCCAGGTAATATATTTTGAATCGCAAAAATCGCTCGTCTGCCTCAATAAAAAGTTTATTTTAACGCGTAAGCCTCAATTTTATTACCCAGTTAAACTCGACCGTTCAAGGCTTAAAGTTGATTGCTTCTTTCCACTTCCGTTTGTTTAGCGAGAGATCAAAGGCTCAGTTAGCTTTAATTGGAAAAACGAAGGCTAAAATCATTTTGATAAACCGATAATATTAGTAAGCAGAGACAAATTAATCGAATACATTTGTTGCTGTTCAAGGGTGACAGTGGAGGACCACTCGCCGTCTTCAACACAGACCACGACTGCATGTACACCATAATAGGAGTCACTAGTCTGGGACGATTCTGTGGCAGCATCATACCTGGCGTGTACACCCGTGTCTACCATTACATCCCCTGGATAGAGAGAACTGCGTGGCCTGAATACTTTGAAACACCTTCCTAACCCACTTTAAATGTATCCATTTTCTTAAGTATCAAATACACTCCGTTTTTATACACAACACTTTGTTCATTCATAGTGCGAGCTTTTACTGCAAAACCAAGTAGTATACAATTACAACAACGTATATAAAAGTGCAAAAGAGATGAAGCCAATTTTTATTCCTATTATTGTTCGCCTGCAACAACTGACGGCCGCATAAGCCTGCCCTAGGGGAAATATATACCTTAGAAAAGCCTAAAATTTTATTTTGGAAAAACAAATGAGAAAAGTAAATTTGGACACTTTAAACTTTTATTTAAGTTAAACTTAAAACTTACTTTAAGAATGTAAAAGAAAACTTTAAGCATTGTGATAAGTATGTGTGATATAATTTATAATACTAGAAGATATTTATAATACTAGAGAAGTGCTATGCCACGCGGTTCTCTAGCGGGAACTTCGACGGGCTTGGCTATCCAAAAATTACTTTAAGTGTCCAAAATTACTCTACAATTTCTCAAGTAAAATATTAACTTCTTTAAGTGAACTCTCAGATTTGAAAGATTACTTTTAAAAGTTTTAATTTCATTTAAAGTAAATTTTCCTACGGAAGGTTCCGCCAACAACGCTTAACTGTAAGACTTACAA